CAATCTATGAAGCTCCCCGGTGATATCAATAATTTAGCTTATAGAACTGAATCAGACTGCAATGCACTATTTAACAGCATTACTCACTAAAGAAGAATTATGATAATGATATTTCATTTTAACAAGTGCAGTAAGCTAGTGCAACGCGATCAGCCCATGTTTATTAGCAGTCAGTCTTTGCTTAAATTATCGATTTCACCTTTAGTCGATCTAGAGCCAATCACGTGCATGAGTCACAATAGTTACTTAGCCAAAAGTGACTTCTTACATGCCTACATACCTATGTGTTGGAAAAAAACTAGGCCGTACATAGTTCGGGTAAGCTATACCTGTCCGCGTTATCTACAGACAGACGGTTAAGTATAATTATTAAGGACATCTTCACCTTGCGCACAGTCGTAAATAGATTCTTCTTCCGGGCTCAAACAAATCCATCATTTTTTGGGGTGTTCACCATTTTTAACGCGTTTCAAATCAATGCAAATTTCGACCAAACATTTATATAAAGTAAATGAGGGTGGAGCCAGGATGGCGTTTACAGTTTAGTCGTCAATTTATGTCGAATTGTTGCCGGAGATAAGCTAATACATTACTACACGGTTTGCTATCTCACACTCTGAACGCGTCTTGTCTTACGAGCGTGTAACTAGCTATGAGATTATTTAAAAAAGTCCGAATTTAGTTATGTAGAAAATGGTCAGAGCTGTAGTGCCTGTATCCGTTTTGTGTCCCTTTCCTGTGACCCATTCTTAAAACAACTATCGATGTTGATTCATGAAAGTTTACTATCGGTTTTTATTTGAGAAAGAGGTTTTCTGAAAAACTAAAACAGGTCGCCAAAAACAAGTGGATAGCCGCAAGTAAGCGGGTTTCCGCAAATTCAGTGAATAACTAAAAGCGTGTGAACGTCCTCACAATAAAGATTGTCTTCCGGCACAAGTCACCTAATAAATTATTCGTAATGCACCCAATTGCGATTTCTGTGCACACTTATCTTCACACATCTGTCTTTGACCTTTTTTTTTAAAAGACAAGGACCACCCTCCGTTAACCTCTCAGTAAAAATGCATCTTTATCGAGAGCTAAAGAAGATTACTGTTCAAGCCTACGCATCCGAGAGTAGCTTTACGATTGCTGCCCAAATTTCTAGTGAACAAGTTTTTTTTCATGTACAAGGAAGGTGTGGATGCGATTTGCAAAGAGAGAACACAGTTTTCATCAGGTTAATTCAACCGGATCTCAGACAAAGGTCAACAAAGCGTGTGGTCAGCGAAACGCGGGACCAGTCGGCGAACGACAAGGGCGATCGGATGCATCGAACAGTTTTGAACACGGCTCGCTCCATGATCTTCGTAGTTGGACTGCCTTAGTCTTTTTGGGGCGATGCGGCTGAGCATGTAGCGTACAATCGCAATAGCAGCCCAACAAGTGCGAACGAGAAGCGTGCATCTCTGATGGAAGTGCTAAAGCAGTGTGATCGCAGATTTTGGGTTATACGATCTGTATACGACGACCCGCCCAACAAATTGCTGGCATGGCGATAGTAAGTCGATGTCATCATCGGACGCAGAGATAAAACTAAAGAATACGAAGTCTTTTACAAAAAAGAGAGCAAAGTCATGTCACAATGCATAACGTTCAGGACATCGAAAAAATGGCACCACGCCGATCAGTTAGCTTAAGCGCTCATTTAAATACGGTGACCAAGCAGACTAAACGGCGACAGCAATCTCGACGCCAGCAGATGCAACTGTGGCATCAGAAATTTAAAACATGTAAATGGAAAGTGAAGTCATGGGCATGTGCCGCAATCAGAACGCGCGGCACTACGAATCTCGCCCAGGTATCCAGTCATCGTAAGGAATCAGTAACTGCTGAGCACTTCGTGTCTCACGTGTAAGAACACAAAATAGGAAATGGTTAGCAATGCGTAGCGCAAATACTTGAAGAAAGCCATGTTAGAGGAGCTTGGACGATCTAAGAAATAAGGTGTGGCGCTTAATCAAGCGACCGACGAACAAATCACATTTAATACCAAATGATTTTCCTAAAATGAATTTGACAGACAGGAAAATATTGAATCTTTGTACGCTCATCATGTCGCGTGCGAAAGTGAGCAGGTTCTTAGCGTCAACAACCAGCTAAGGTTATTGCCAGTCATGGACATATCCACGGTTGATTTAATTCTCGCAATAGCGGCTACATGGGGGTATTTTAAAGCACGGGGACACAACGAATGCATGCTTTAGGGCGTAGAAAGAGTCACATCTGGACATAACATTTTAGGCTGCGCAGAAAATGCAAGTTGCCGGATAGACGATGCAAAAATCTGGTACCACGAGCAAAAAGGAGCTGGTTGACGATCTGGTGGAGATCTTGTATGATTTTAAGCAAGCTGGCCGACTATGGAATCAATCTTTGCATGCGAAGCTGCTCAAAGAGGGCGTGGTACGGAGTATTACAATCTTATCTCTACTGGAAGCTCGACACGACAGATATGTCTTAGTGGGAGTCTACATAGATTATTCAATTGCCACAGAGACCAGTAAAACTGCCATTAATTTTTTCTAAGCCAGTCTAGCAATCGTAATGATAAAGGACATTTTTCGCTTTAGTAAATTTCTAGGATTAGGGTGACTATCGACGATGACGGCGTATACACCTTAGACCAGGAGAAAAAAGATTGGCAACTATTGGCGTGAGCCCGGGATAGAGGACGCAAACTCGACACCCGCACCGATTGGAGCCAATTGCTGCCAAGTGAAGCCGACATGCCACGCGCTGCTTAAGGTCACAAATAAATACGAAGCCTCAACGACCAAGGATCCTCCAGTCGCTAGTTCAATTGCTGCTTTGTGTGTCGCGGTGCACGCGCCCTGAAATTGTGTTTGCAGTTTACAAGTTAATAAGACACAAGAACTAGCCACGGTTTGACGATTTTAAACTTGCAGATAGAGTTGCTTTCTACCCTAGAGTCTTTAAGGCGATAGATTTGACATGAAGCCGAGCAGCGACGGGCATAGTTAATCAAACTCGAGTTGTACTGCGACGCCGACGCTGCTGCGGACAAAAAGAATCGAAAAGATTCTATATGGCGGCGTCGTTCTTTTTAACGGCATAAATTTAGCTGTAGTGCCAAGCAACGAGTTGGATTCTCTCTATCCACAATATAAGCGGAATTTGTGACAGCGTCAGAGGTCTCTTGAGAGATGCGAGAACTACGCGAAATGACTATCGAGATGAGCATGGCGCCATAACTCTTAAACTGATACACCTTGACAGTCAGGCAGCCAGCCGCAAATCGAAGTTGGGGCCCCATCACTCAAGGTCAAGCACATCAACAATCAAGTCAAGTTTTTACTACTTTTCTTGGCACGGGACCGTACGTGCAAAGCACATGATGTGGAGCTAATGCTTGCCAATCTACTCACAAGGCACTTAAACTGCCGAAACTCGCACGACGCGCACTTTGATGCACCTAAATTGTAACAGGGCACCCTCTGTTTGGGTACCATGTATTTTCACGTACACCAGTACGTGAAGAGGAAGCTGATATACTAAAATAGCTAGTTTGAGCAAAAGTAAAAGAGAACTGTATTAAACATAGTCAACCTATCAACATAACCTTAATCTATATCAAACTATCTTGCTCTACATTTTCGTATGACTACAACCTGCTCACCACCCACTACGCGCCTCTATCGACGATTAGTGGTAAACTTGGTTAATAAGTATTTTATCAACCGATCTCTGAGCAGCGTATGATTATTATCCTGAAAGGGAAAACTACTCCTTCAATATTAACCAACTCGGATAATATTGGCAGGGAATCGTCACGCTGGACAATATTGTTATTGACACCGTCTGGTGTAGACATCATTGCATAGGTCTTACCCCGTTACATCACCCTCCCTAAACCACCAACCCCCGTTGGTTGAATTAACTTTATTGGGGACAGGGTGATCACTAAAAGATCACTCTGGGAAGTGGAGCACTAGTTGGACAAATTTCATTTCATTTTCAATTCACCGCATGGTGTCAAAGTACATGCGGTGCGCTACTAAAGAAGCGAGGAAAGCGGTTGCATGAATGCGTGCAGCCACAGTGTGTACTTCACAAACTTCAGCAGCAGGTGGTAATTCAAATGATATTACAAGTAAGCAACAGGCAGTGGCTGTTGCGACTCGTAATGTGGATGAGCCAGAATAAGAGTTCATCAAAACTAACGAATCGGATGATGCATCCGACTTAAAGGCGACATTTCATGCCTTCAGATCATCCGAGGCGGACACTGCAAGAGCCAGGTTGACTGGATCTGGAAAACGTGGCGCTTTCATGTCCAATGTCTTCGGACCGAGCGATCCGTCGGACGAATTATGATCTCACGCAAGTTTAACTGACACTAGGACGAGTAGTGATGGTAGTGACGCGCCTATACGTCACCACGAAAGGAGTAACTCGAGGGATCTATCGTCTACTGGTTTCAGTGCTTATGCCGGCATTTCTCACAAGACCAGTGACCGCAATGTCCTACGCCATGCTCCTCAAGTGGAGTCTCCTTCGATGCCATCATCCAAGGAGTTAGCATCGAGTGGCCGGTATGACCACTCAACAAGATCGAAATCGGTTGTTCGACTGTAGGAGGATCTGTCCTCCTTATTCCAGCACGGAAACTATCCGTTCTGAGGAAGGGTTCTACACCAATGTTTTCTACAATTATCGGTGGTAAAACGTAAACCGTGGCCAAGACGGGGAGGCCTTGATGCAAGGATGAAATGCCTTCATCCATAATATCAAGTGCATTGGCCGTGAGGCCTGGCTCGGTAAACTTGATGTAGCTAGCATCAGGTTTGAAAAGCGTAAGCCAATTGGGGTGCGTACGAGTCGCACCAACCGTCGAGAGAGGCAGGATTACCCTGTCTCTCGAGGGGTAATTCGTGCCCTGGTTGCCTGGACAGCTCGAATCGTGCTCCTAGGGACGTCTACCTCCCTTATGTTCCCTACTGAAGGGCGCGATCTTTCTCTAAGATGGCCGAAGGAATTGACACTTTGCAATTCCTGTACTCGCGTTCTAGGAGGTCGTTTTCCGACGGCCCTTCTTCAAACGCAGCCGTTGGGTCTCGTCTTATTGCTCGACGAGACCCAGGACCATCAACAATCAGCTGGGCACGAGGCTCCCAGCTGTCCCAGGCCGGTGGATGGTCACGCCAGCGGACGAGGTCGCGGTGGTACAAAATACGGTCCACCAGAAAGCGTTGACCACCGCTTGAGTCCATCAAAGGATGTGGTCGAAGCGGGAACACATGATCTGGCTCGAGAGACGTATCAGCTTGATTTTCAAGAGCTAAACCATCTAACGAAACAGTTACACGATGACCTGGCTCATAAACGGACTCGGCGTTATGGGCTCCATGACCTTGTAAAGGATGATGACAATTTCTTAGCACACGATCGTTCGAACGATCGAGCCGAGTTTGTGTACACACAACTTTAGAGCCAACGTCCGATTCGTTCTCTTTGCAACGAGCTGGCTGCAGCTTGTAAAGACATCACCCAACTGCATGAGCAGGTCGCTTCGCTAGTCAACCATATTGGCTCGTTGAAACGGTATCACTCAAAGGATGGTATCGGCCCTTGACCACGAAGGTTTTCTTTGCCTCTTCAAAATCGAAACGGGCTCGTACTGACAGTACGGGCGGAGACATCCAAAATAAAACGTAAGAGGCGCATGCATCTTACGAGGTAGTTCAATCATGTATGCGCTGCCCATGCGGTGCAGTGCACGAAAAGGACCGATTAACATAAAAAGTAGTTTGCTGATGTCCACGTTTTTCACTGCATGTTTCGGTAGGTTTGCTGTTGGCACTAAAACTAAATCTACTACAATAAATGTAAGAACGTTTGCTCTTCTATGTATGTCTGCGTTCTTTTATGCTTGCCTGTTGCATCTGCAATAAAGTATTGAAGGGAACAAAATTCTGCTTCGCGAGTCAGCAGAAATTCCTCTGCTAATTCATCCTTGTTAACAGCAGTGCTCTTTGTGTGCACTGCTGAAGGATCGTTGTCTTCATTAGTGAAGGACGTCATCGTTCTCAATGTAGCAGTCGTTTACGATGCTGAATATCACCAGCATCGTTGTCATCATCGTCATCGATGTCCATGTGATCGACATCAGCATCGGCACCCCTGACGTCTACACCATTGTCGACGTGTGATGATCATAGAGCCAGTTCGGTTTTTTTCAGGCGAGTCCACCCACCCAACCTTTATCTAAAGTCACGATCTAAGATGGCGGGAAAACTAGGATGGCGTAGTACATTCACGAATAACGGTGTATGCGAGGTTGACGCGTGCACCGAGTTGCTGATGGCGAATTCCGCCATCGGCAAGAACTCACTCCAACTCGTAAACGAGTGGACATACTTTCGAAGTATCTCTTCGAGGACGCAGTTGAACGCGTTCCGTCTTACCATCTGTTTCAGGATAGTCCGAAGTCATCATCTTCCATCGTGTTCTAAGTGGACGGAACACGGATTGCCAGAACTCCGCTGTCAAGAGAGGGTCTCTTTCAGACACGACTTCACGGGGTAACCCGTGAAGTCGAAAGATAGTATCGCTGAAGGTACGAATACAGCCTTGGGCTGTGATTGACTCCGTTACAACAACAAAATGTGCCATCTTGCTGAACCGATCACTATACACAAGGATACCAGTATTCTTCTGAAAGTCTTTGGGAAACCCGAAGACGAAGTCCATCGATACGGGCTGCCAAGCCTTTTTTTGCCAGAACCAGTAGAGGCTGCAAGGGTGCACGGGGTGAATGACTAGGCTTCATCCGTTGAAAAACTTCGCAAGCGAGAATGTATTTGCGCACACACTCATACTGGCGGGGCCAGTAAAAGTCACGACTCACCATGAGGTAATTCTTTTCTCTACCGCGATGCCCACTTTTTGAGGCATCGTGATACTCATACATGATGCGCAATCGCAAATCATCATGAGCGGGAACGACGACACGAGGCGTGTCTTCGGTCGCTGCTGTATAGTACAGCAGTCCCTCACGAACCGAATACCGTTCAGTTGAAGAGCTGTATTGGGACGACAATCTTTTCAAAGCTTGACTGCATGGATTGGCTACATAATACATTAACCACAGAAGAGAACCAACTTCTTCGTATGCTTTCCGCACGTCGTCAAGCAGATTCGACGACGAAACACTCACTGTTAGTGTTGCTACAGTGGCATCCCCCTACTGTTGGGTTGTGCAGTCGGCTCAAAATCGGACCGACGCGAAAGAGCATCAGCGATGACATTAAGTCGTCCTGGTTTATACTCGGCGGAGAAGTTGTACTCCACGAAGAAAGACAGCCACCTCGCCATTTATTGCGAGAGGTGTGGAATGTTTACGGCCGTGCGTAACGAAGCATGGTCGGTATAAACGATGAAGGGCCTATCTCCTAAGAGATGTACCCGAAACTTAGTCAGTGCATATTCCATGGCAAGGCGTTTCTTGTCATGCACTGGTAAGTTTCGCATCAGCTGATTGCACCTGATGCGACTGGTAACAGATGACGCGCTCAACGCCGTCTGAGTCGTACTGCATCAATGCGCAGCCGATTGCAAAATCGCTGGCGTCACAGACCACATGGAATAGTCTATCCTGGTCTGCAATCGCCAACACAGGCGATTGCACCAAGTTTTTTTTTGATGCCTTCGAAGGAGTGCTGACACTCAGCACTCTATGACCACCTCTCGTCTTTTCTAAAAGACGAGAGAGATGTACGGTAATCTCGGCATATTTGCGCGAGTATTTGTGCAAGCAAGCTGCCAAGCCAAGGAACTTTCGAAGTCCCTTGACGTCGACTGTCACAGGCTAGTTGCTAATCGCCTTGATCTTTTCCGGATCAGGGCGTACACCCTTTTTACCCACGATGTAGCCAAGAAGTGGCATTTTGTTCGCTGCGAATATACACTTTTTGATGTTCGCGAATAACTCATTCTCACGCAGGAGAGTAAGAACCTTCTAAAAGTGGATTCTATGAACCTCTACGTCCGTGTTTCCATCCATAGCCCGGCTATGGACAAAGACACCGTCGAAGCAACTCGGTGTAAAATCGCGCACCGATCGCAACATATTTGTAGCATATCTGTTGAATGTTGCAGGGACGTGAAGCCCCCTGTAGAATGACTAGCCACTTCTAGAGCATACCACTGGGAATGCTCACTGCTGTGTACGGGATATCCCGTTCACGCATGAGGATCTGATAGAATCCATCCATCAAATCCATGGATGAAAGATGTTGCTCTAGCCATACCATCAATGATGATGTCCTTCCTTGGCATCGGCGTCTGAGCCGGTACCGTTGCAGCGTTCAATTTGATGAACGCGTGCACTATCCGCCACCCTCCTGTGGCCTTTCGCACACAGAAGGTCGGAGAGCTGTATGGGGATGTTATTCCCTAATATGACCAGCCGCTAAGCTATCAGAAAAGGACTAGTCGATCGCTGTGACCTGATTACGAGGCAATGGCCACTGCTTCATGACACAGTGCTTCGAACCGGGTTTCAGTTTCGTCTCACGCCAAATGCCTTTGTCTTTGGGTAACTCGCATGGTACGGATTCGGGGAAACTACCCTGGATTCAACCAAATCCTTATATAAATGATTCTTCCTCAAAGACTCCAAGATTGAGACGTGTATCGCTCAATCCGATTTTTCTCGTCGAGGACAATCTCATCCATCGATAAGCTACTGATAAACCAGTTCGTTCTCATCAACCACTTGTGCCGACCGAATGTCGACGACGTACTCGTCCTCTGTGACGAGTACGCAGATCTGCCTGATTTTTTCACGACTCAGATCTCTCAAGAATCGTTTAGATTCTAGCGTTGGCAACTTGATTACCTCCAAAGCGGATTTTGGAGGTATAACCAGATCAAGTGTATAAGTGCCTACACTCGATTCGTCATTAGCCAAGACATTCACTGTCCCGGTGATTTCCTGGGAAAATGCATCCGCAGGTGGTTGGGGAAACAAACCCTCAACATAACTCTCTCGGGAGTTATCACTCTCAGGAGCGTCGGAACTTTCTTCCAATACGTGTAATGACTGTGGCTACATAACCACAGTCACGTCCTCATCGATCGACTCTCTTTCAGTCGAGTGTGCTTGCTCTACGATCGACTCTCTGTTAGTCGATCCCGCTTCAACGTGTACTATATAATGAACAACACTAATCTCTCTGCTTGGATGCACCCTACTTGGTGTGTTTCCGTGATCCAGTCCACTCGATCTATTCGATTGGTGAGCCTTCGGCGCAGCCTGTCTCTCTTCACAGGTGCCGGAAGCTGGTTCCACAGTGTAGTGGTCTTCTGCACTGTGATCTTGTGCAGCCATACTAACGACCGTACCACAAGTGAGGCCATCGCACTCACTCGTAGTACATCCACACGCTTGTGGAAGCTCCAAGACGTTCATCAGATGGCCATCTTATGAACAAACGGCAGGCGTCTTCACGGATCGATGCTGCCAGCTGACCCATGGCTGGTACTATTCAAGCCATGGCAGACCAAGGATGACACCAAATTTGTCATCCAAATCCAGTACGGTGAAGTCATGATCGTACTGTCTTCCTTCTAGCGTGTAGTGGTCCCCGCTACACGTTTGTTCAATGTTACGGATGTGCCTGTAGCAAGGAACACCGTCAACCTCGTTGGAGGAAACTCTCGTTCAACATAGTTGAGTCTACTATCCTCTAGCGCCTGACGTCGAATATAACTATTCGACGCCCCACAGTCAACTAGGGCGCGAAGTGACATTTCACTTGTCACATCGATCTTCAAAGTGGTGAGGGATTCCTCATCACTGGGGTCAGCAACACACAGCGACTGTGTGCTGGGAGCAATCTTCGTTTAGAGTCCTGCAAATTCTCTTGACGTTGCTGGATCAGCAGGGTGCTCCACCCCTGCTGACCCTGACCGTTTTTGACGGTCCGACTTGCTGTCGGGCTTAGCGACATGGTCGGAACCACGCCTCGGACCCTTCCTTGGCCAACGATGGTCGTCATGTCCTGTCTTTGGACGTGTTGCGGTGCTTAGGACACTACACTCTTGAGCGTAGTGTCCAGTCTTCTGACAGCGAGGGCTTCTTGCCGTTCGCTTGTGACTCAGAGAGCGAGAGATCTCACTTTCAATGTAACAGACGTCCATTGTTTCGGGACCTCCTGTTTCCTGTCGTCTCATCGGACGATAGTACACCGAGTTAGCCTGAGACCGTCTCAGACTACAGTCTTCTTGTTCCGCATACGCTGTCGCCTTTTCCAGCGTATGCAAGTCCTCTCGGATCATGCAGGTCTTCACCCTTCTATCCACGAGACCGTAGATAAACACTTTGATGAGCGTGCGCTCATCAACAGGGTTTTCCGTGATGTTACTCGCAAGGTAGCATAGGTGTTGTGCGTAAGCGTGCACATCACGTTTACATAGCTTGGGCCATTGGAGTGCAGAGGTGCTCTGAACTCGGCTCTCGGCGGCTCAAACGTCTATTTAAGCCGAGACCTCAAGACCTCCAACGACTCAAACACGTTTAAGCCGTGAAGCTTGAGCCCTAAGGCCCAAGTCTTTGCTCTTCCTGTCAAATTTAACAGGGCGAAGGTGACTTGCATCTCGTCACCTTTGATGTGACGGGCCCTGATGGCGTCGTCTAACTCGACGCACCATCTCAAAAGGGAATCTTCATCGGTTCCCTTGTACCTTGAGATGTCTATCTTCAAGGCTTCGGGTCGACGCATGTGTGTCGGTCCGCCCAACGACTGATGAGAGTCTTGATGCTGTTGCAAGGCTATCTTCTGACGTTCGACAGCAAGTGCCCCTTGTAGAAACTTGTTGATAGCAACATGTTGCTAGTCTCTGTTTAGAGACACCAACATGCCACTGGTGGCGGTTTCGCCCATGAGCCAACTCATGCGGCCGACTATCTCCCGTTCGGAGTCACATCGGATGGGAGTAGCCTTCACGTGTACGTGAAAGCTATCGTCTTCTACGTCCAACATGTATATGTATGGGTGGACACTAAGTAGTCGTTCGACGTACTACGAAGTGATTCCAGGTGCAACATGCACCCTTTGTCTAGGTGCGGGAAACATTCACGCTCACTTGCAAGTGCAGAGGAAGCTAATATACTAAAATAGCTAAGTTTGAGTAAAAGTAAAAAGAGAACTGTATTAAACATAGTCAACCTATCAACATAACCTTAATCTATATCAAACTATCTTGCTCTACATTTTTGTATAACGACAACCTGCTCACCACTCACTACGCGCCTCTATCGACGATTAGTGGTAATCTTGGTTATTGAGTCTTGTATCAACCAATATTTGAGCAGCGCATGAATATTATCCTAAAAGGGAATACTTACTCCTTCAATATTAACCAACTCGGATAATATTGGCAGGGAATCGTCACGCAGGACAATTTCGTTATTGACACCGTTTGGTGTCGATATTATGTATTAGGCTACCCCGTTACAGGAAGGTTTCAACACGAGATTAAGGGTAAAAGTACATCTGTATTTGGTTAAGTTTAGTTCCCGTTTAAAAACCCTGTTTTGTCTACTTTCAATTACATCTTAATACAAACATGTACTATAACTATCTGTATCACTACTCATTGCGTTCTTGTGTTGTGGCTCGGCTTTAATGGTTGACGCCATTTATCTATATCAAAAGTTAGAAGTGGATTACTTCTGCATCACGATATTTTAGATTAAGCTGACATTGTGAGAACATGATGTTGGTCTTAACATTATATTCAAACTTGATCTTTACTTTCTGTACGATTTCATGTAACGAAAGCACCCCGTTACATATAAGGCGTATCTGCTAATGAGGGGGATACATAAAATCGTATTCATTATGACGTGTATGGTCCAGCAATTGTTACATTCGGACACAGCAGGTGGCAGACTACATTGCACTTAGTGCGACGACTAGGGCAAGCCGGCGTTATTCACATGTACAGTAGGTGATCGACTTACCGCACTTAGTACAATGACAACGGGACAATTAGAATTATTTGCAGACACACAAAGACAATAAAAGAAACACACAAAGATAAGTACGATTAGAAATATCGACACTCACCTTGTGCACTATTAGTTATAGCTTCACCCTCCGGGCTCGCAATTATAAAGGCTCATTTTTGCGATTTAAAATGCATTTATTTAAAGCTGCAAACACAATTAATTTAAGGCAGTTTAAAAACTTGGGCGGAAATTGGGCAAGGCTATTTCCGTACTTTTAATTTTCTATTTCGTACTGCAAACGGCGTCAGACGTTTTTGCGAACAGCTTATTAGCTTAATAGTTTGATTTTTCTGTTCATGTATGGTACATATAGAAGGTCAGAGGTGCGAAGATTAAAGATTCCATTGACTAGATTTAGTGCCCAGCCTTACGGACGGGCTGAACATCTCCAACTGGAAGATTACCAACCAATATCTAAACCCGTCTCTGGAGCACCAAGTGGTGCCGACTCGTCTAGCTGAGCCTGGTTTGCAGGCACCTGCACCCGATAGTCTATCGACGTTAGTGTTCCAGCACAAGCGAGCTGCTACTTCTTGGGTGCAACTCTAATTGGTCATAAAGCGATTTCAGTCAATACGCTGGCGAACACCATCGTACAACTTGACTTGGTGTTGGCTCGCGCTCATCTTGGCCACCATGTTCGGCTTCGTGATCGTCAACACCGACTACACAGCGTACCAAGGGCTGATCTCAGCCGTGGGTTTCATTTTCGTGACACCACTGTGTTAAGAATACGTGACGTACGTTGCTTGTCTGCCCTTCACCCAGCGGGAACAAACCGTCAACTGCCGCGAGTGCGACGCGCACACGTACAACACTCTCTGGTACTTCCTCAGCATCACGTTCGTCGAAATCCCCTACGTCTTTGGCAGCAATCTCCTCTCTACCATTGTCTTCTTCCCTCTCCTCGGCACCTAGCCCTTCAACGCGGCTGTTCTACTGGCTCATCATCTCCCTCTCCATGCTCATACAGACGCTCCTGGGCCAGATGCCCATCTACTTGCTGTCAAGTGGCTAAGTCTTTTCCGTTGTGGTCTACGTCATTAACGTCATGTTCCTGCGCGTTGCTGGGTTCAACTCGCCTGCTGCTGCCATCCCGGACCGTTACCGATGGATCTTTGACGTCACTCCACAGCGCTGATTCTCTCGATCCTCGTCTCGCTTGTGTTCGGCACAAGCGAGACGAGGATCTGAAGATCTAGTGTATGATGAGGCTACGCAGGGGTACACCAAAGTGCGGTCGGAACTCGCGTGTTGATTTTTCCCGGAAGCCCCGCTGTGTGAAGCTGTCCATCTCTCGAATGCGACACGAGTTTCTTTGAACGTTTTAAACTCTTTTACCCGAAGTGGGTAGTACAAACGCCAAATTCAAAGTCAATTTGCAATTTGTTGCCAGTGGGGTGGTCGTTATTGGGAACAAGCTTTTCCCCTCCATTATAAATCTTCTCACAGTCTTTGTCATAATTTTCATCGTCATGGGTGTTTCCAATTTTGCGGCTGACTATTTGCTGGAGTCGCCAGCATAAACAAGTGTCAATAGTTCTAGTGCAAACGGGAATTTCGCCTTGTACAGTATGCTTTAGGTCAGCGCGCGCACTGCTTCTACCGTTTGTCGGCACTTTGAACCAAAGGATGATAACAAATAAATGTGGCGTGGTCAGCTGCACTATACGAGTCATATAAAGCTAGTGCAAAGGGTGACATACAGGGAATTTTATCAGCCAATAGAATCTTTAATCTTCGCACCTCTGACCTTCTATATGAAGCATAATACAGATAAATCAAACTATTGAGCTAATTGGCTGTTTGTAAAAACGTTTGACGCCATTCGCTGTACAGGATGGCAAAATTGATAGTACGGAGAAGCTTCGCCCGCGAAAAAAAGCGTTGTTTGTGCTTTACCAAGATTTTGTTTAAGCCCACACCTGACAACTCGTGGCATAAATTGCTTCATCACCGACGCTGTTATAAAACATTATAAATGATGGGATCATATAAATCCTTGGCTTACGGCAAATAAAAAAATACGCGACCAGCACGACCTCAAAGAGCGTAAAACACCTTTACTTTCTTGTGCATTAGCCGATCAGGCTTCGAAACCCCCTGCTGTTTTGCTTTTTTTAAAGGGCACAAACACGCAGAAAAGTGGAAAAGTTTTACAAAAACTTCCTGGCCCTCACAGTCGGCGGCCTGGCCTAGTCAGTAACTCCCGAATCGACAATGACGTGGCGGTGGTTGAACGTGCTGCTCACGCCACTAGTCGCATGGATCCTGCTGACCTACACGAAAGCCGCGGGATTGGAGTCCGTTATGAAAATTGTCAGTAGCGATCGCACTGTGAAGCTGGATCCAAGCGTGCAGCACATTCCGCTTGATCCCGCCAAGGCGCACATGCGGCCACCGCCGGCGCAGATTTCCACGACCTCCAACATCTTCGTGGGCATTTCAGTATATCGCGATGGTCTTCGCTGCGGTAAGACTATCTTCACAGGCCTCAAACGGGCCAAGTACCCAGACCGGCTCTTTTTTGGTATCGTGGACCAGGTGAACGATGATGACAAGCGCTGCCTCGACGAGTACTGCAAAATGGCGAAAGCAGAGTGGCCGGACCAAGGCGAGTGTCCATATAAGGATCATATCCGTGTAGACTTGCACCCGGCTTCCGAGTCGCGGGGTCCTACGCTCGCGCGCCACTTCCAACAGAAGCTCATTCAGCAAGAGGAGTTTTGTCTGCAGCTCGATGGTCATAGTATCTTTTCAAACCTTTGGGACGAAAATCCACTGGTCGAATGGAAACGCGTGGACAATGAGATGGCCATCCTGTCTACATATTTGCACCACCTTCATGATTTTATAAAAGAAAACGGCGACAATGCTTTCTCCGCACTGTTGCCCCACCTGTGCTCAACCATGCGTAACTCTCATGGAATGGTTCGCACTGTTGGTGCTAGCGTGATCAGTGGGGGTAAGTTTCCGCAGCTGCAAGCATTATGGGGCGCTGGCATGTCCTTTAACAAGTGCCATGCCGAGCGTCGCGTGCCGGTGGACTCGCACACGCTCTGGCTGTTTGATGGTGAGGAGTTTTTGCGCGCGGCCCAACTATGGACGAGTGGCTACGACATGTACTCGCCTTGTGACTTGGGCTCCGTGGTGTTCCACAATTACTCGCAAGTGCCTGCTCGCTTTCAGCAAATGACGATTGATCCAAAGATTAAGCAGCGTGAGAGGGAGATGGCGTTTAATCGTTTTAATTTTCTAGTTGGCAAGCCCGTGAAAGGTCTTGTCGACACGTTCGAGCTGGACAAGTACGGGTTTGGGTCAGTGCGCTCATTTGAGAGTTACCTCAAATTCTGTGGTGTAACCTTCCAGGAAGGTCAGAGCGATGCCGAGTCATGCGAGCAACTTCACTGGGTACCTTACGAGAACGAAACAGAGGTGGAGGCTTTGGTGGGAAATGGGTGGAAGGTGGGCGAAGAGAACAAGGGTGTTACACGTGAAAGTGCTTTACTGACTAATGAACACGCAGTTGTCGACGAGGATCCAAATGCTGAGGTTGCACAGCAAGAGGCAAATGCACACCTTAGAGACGGTGCGGACGTTGTTGGGGACGAAACGGTAATCGGTGCGAACACGCAGCTGCGGCGGAAAGTAACGGTCAATCGCGCATCAGGGGGTCCTTTCGGTGTATTGGTTTGGCCTTTTCTCGTCTTCGCTGTGGCAGCTGTTTGTGTGAGATTTTTAAAAGACAGCATCTCCCGTAAGATCCGACTTTTGTTTTGCGCTAGCGTGGCGCGTCCTCACAGCTCGTTTGAGTAATGATGGCGCATTGAATAAAAAACGCCAGCGTACATTTTGGTAATGTCCTGCTGTTCGCATTATTACTATACAAGCACCGTATTAGGAGCTGCAAGTACCCTTCCATGAACGAATCCGCGTCTTTCCCACGACACTGCGCCTTCTTGCATGTTGCAGTAGTCCTGCATCGTTCGAATCCATCTTTATGCTTATGAGAATACTGGAGTACCCTCTGCTTCAGTACATGTGAAACAACATGCGAAGTACCTATGTCCATCCTATTCGACAACTCGCTCTTGTGCTCCCCTCATTCAAAATTTGATGAAGTACATCGAATTAAGATGATGCTACATGCCACGGTGGCCATAAACTTCGAAGGTTCAACGGCACCGGACGGCAATGGAAGGCGATCAAGGCACTTGGCATGTAACGGGGTGCCTCCGTTACATGATTGTGTGCCCAAAGAATGAAGCCATTAGTGACCGTGCGCAAAGTTGAATGCCGAACTTTTGAATCGTACTTATCTGTGTGTGTCAGTGTGTGTCTATAAAAAAGGCGGTTACGTGCAGCTTACACGTTTTAAGTGCGATCGAACCTACCCCGCTCACAGGTATATTTGCACATACAAAGTCACTCTATGGCTAGGTCACTATTGTGAAGTTCTCACGTGACTGGCTTAAAATCGATTAATAATGGATGTGGTCATGTAAGCAAACACTGGACGCTCATTAGCGAAGGCTGTTCGCGTTACCTAAGTATTCTGTACTGTATTCATACAGGCGTTATCAGCATCTTACTCGTCATTTAGTGACTGCTGCTATCGTATAGTTTTTTGCAATTTGTATCAGCTCTGTTAACTAAAATACGTGTATCAAAGGGCGTGCCACAGAGCTTGCTCCCCTATCTTATCTAGAATAAAGTAAAGATCGAGTATGGATATGATGTTAAGACCAACATCATGTTCTCACAATGTTAGCTTAATCTAAAATATCGTGATGCAGAAGTAATCCACTTCTAACATTTGATATAGATAAATGGCGTCAACCATTAAAGCCGAGCCACAACAGAAGAACGCAATGAGTAGTGAACAGATAGTTATAGTACATGTTTGTATTAAGATGTAATTGAAAGCAGACGAAACAGGGTTTTTAAACGGGAACTTAACTTAACCAAATAAAGATGTACTTTTACCCTTAATCTCGTGTTGAAACCCTCCTCTGCACGATGCGTGTAGCGGAGCTACTTAGCGCTCCTTAACAGAAGAACACTTAGACTCAAAGAGTCTCTTAATTATGACAATCTAACATTTGTGGTGGAGCGTTTTTGGAAGAAAGAGCGATCGAAAAAAAGAGTGATCTCCAAGGGCGACAAATCGTGGAGAGGGATTGACTGGCTGAGAAGAGGCGCAATTCTAAGATCGAATATCGCAGTATCGAGATCGAATATCACGATACCGAGAGCAAATATCACAATACCGCTACTAAATATCAGGACAATGGGATCGAATGTCAAGTTACCAAGATCAAGCCAAGGTACCGAGATTGAAGATGTATGAGATGTCCAAGGCCGGGGATATGGCTGACATATCGGCAGAGATCAAGATCCTGGAAGGAGATCGACGATCAGCGATCGGCCAAGAAGATCGACGATCAGTGACCGGCCAAAGAGATCGACGTTAGATCGAAGAGATCGCATTCGGGGAGAATGGCGACCGAAGAGATTGGCGATCTGTCAGATGTGGACCACACATGCGAAGATCAATCACCGAAAGATAGAGGACACGTGGCATAACATCCTAGCATATAGACAGGCATAGTCACAGTCTTAGCTTTTGGCTGGTTGACATTGAACAGAATTCTATTTGCTTCTACGCACACGCGTCGACTCTCTTCCGGGCTGGAATATTGGCCTCCCGACGTAAAAAAAGTCACGCATACTAAAACCAAGTGATATTCCCAGATCATTGGCGGGGGATCAAGAATTTTCACCCCCCCCTACTCTGCAAGCGGACGCAGCAAGAACAAAAGAGACAAGACGCAAGATCGCAAGACGGCTCAAGTGGTCAGAAGGCTCGCGTATCAAGCATCCACACAGTGGTCAAGGCGATCTCCTTGAGATCTGGGTGACTAACATCAAACACCATACAAGTACCCCGTGATCGCGTGAAGATTTCCGCCCGATCACACCAACCTATTCCAAACACGGTCAAGTTTTCTATCGACACGAGTCCACCAAGAAGAGTGCAGCTCGCCCTACCGACGGTTACACAAGGTGAGGAAGGAATTACAAGACACGGAAACGGAGCACCCCTCCGATAGTCGGTCGTCTGGGCACCAGTGGACAGCCGGGATCGCCTCATGAAATGAGCGATCGCCACTCCACCATACAAGGATGAACAGTCGTTCAAGCGTACAAGATTTACAATCCCGATTCCAAAGGGATTACGATTCACAGAATCACACACTAACTAGTCACTACCAGTTAAACAGGAGTAAATGCCTTGACAAGGCAAATGCTTTTAACAACACACTACGCCTTGACTGGTCACTTGTGTCCAACGATTCAAAAGGGAAACTGAACTTTAAAAATTCTTTAACTACGGTAATAAACCCTGCAACTTTGTCCGACTAAATTCTACTTTGCAATCTTATGACAGAAGTCTGATCCCTTATCCCTAACCGATACGATGCGGTATTACCGTAAATACATGGTACCGAAACTGTACCACCTAGAACCACCGATCTTCACTTGGTGTGGACACACATCATAGCCGGGTCGATAACCGCCGTGTAACCCCGTTACAACCTTCCCCACCAAACCAAACTGTCGACACCCTTGTATAAAAATTCTCCTACTGCTCTTTGGGGCCTCGAAGCTCTGGTCCTGACCATCGTATTTACAACACATCTCAAAACGACTGAGTAAAAGCCTTCTTTTAACACCATTCTTAAATTCCTTGATTAAAGTATGGTGGGCTGCGACAGCGACACCGTTGCGTCGAGTGTCCATAACCACCCCCTAACTACTCCACCGCCAAAGACACCTCGCGCGTTGCGCATAATCCATTCGTAGAACACGAGGAGGTACCTTCACCCCTTACACAGCGTGCAGCCATCGACCCTGCGTTGGATGCGTTGCACTACACACTTGCAAGCTCAATATCTTTAGTCGGTCAATGACCGCAGGCGTCATGCACAATGTGTAGCCACACAGTATGATCACAGTAGTTACCGCTTCACACCACCGAGTGTGGATGAACACATTCGTCAGATTGCCAGGCAGTCACTCGCTACATGGGTCAGGGGACCTAAGGCTGCCACAGCCTCAGCACTAGCGGAGAGGGAGGCCTTCAGATGGATACCTGGGGATCGCGTGCATGCCCGTTCAAGATTACCTCGACATGCTGAATCTGCAAGCACGAGGTTTGACAGTGTCCGCCATGCGGACGATACCCGTCGTGAACATGACTTCATTTTCTACTACGTCTCACCCATTCTCTGGTGAGACGTAGGTGAATGTGAAGTCAAGTTCACGTGTTGGGCTCACAATTCTCGCCATATACGAAGCCTGTGAATATTAAAAGAGAGGGGTCCACATGCTGACGTTCGGCTTGAACGAAAGCTGCAATTTGATTTTGCAAAAACAAAATCCAAAGTCCAACTACGATCATTTTATCGCACCTGCTATGCTGCGTCAGATACGGAACCGCACACCAGTGCGCCCGCTGCACCTACAGCTCCCTCCACTCCCGCACCGACTAGTGGGAAGCAGTATGGTCGAATGCCCTTTAATACGACTTTCAAAAAGATCATCAGAACGCGGAAGATCCTACCGCAGTGGGAATTCGTACTTCAATGAGTTCTCCGACTCCGGGTACCCCCGCCACTGTACCAAGTACTGAAACTGACCAACTCGGCGACGTCGCTGCAGGAAATGTTCGACATGGTACTGTTGGTCCTATTGTTTTACAACTAGATCAGGCGGTGGCCGATAAGTTAAATTTCCAGCCACGCTGCGACAAACATAGAGGGAACGCGAATCACGCGCGCGTTACAAAAGTAAAAATGAGTAAGTGTTTTTGATTAAGATCCGCTCTTCATCCTTAGTACGAAATGCCATGCTCTACACAACACGATGTGTAGTCCACGCACTAACACGCAACATAAACCACCACGATTCAACATAACTAAACCGGAAGTTCAAAGTCCAAATCGGGAATGTCAAACTTCCAACACTCCTCCATTGTGGACTGTACTTCATGTCATTCTGTCTCATTTGTCCTTCAGAATCCCACGATAATGCGAATTAATCCATCTCAAAAAAATTATGTTGCGTTCGCTGTCAATCAATATATTTGCAACCAGTTCCATTAATCGTTGAAGCATCGATTTTTTCTTTTCAGCATCTGAACTTTCTTCTAGCCCCACCAAAGTTCTCAGATCCTCCAATTGTGGTGCTGCTACAACTTTCGTCATCAAGTCAGCAGGTATGTTGCGACTTTCAAGGAGCACCGGGAGTGATGCACCGCTTTTTACTTGCGACCTCACAAATTCAACTTGCTCGTCCACATGTATCGACTTTGCAGACGAGCCACAGTCCTCCTATCTGCTACAGTGCCGCCTGGTTATCTACATATGACATCATAGGTTCTTCGCATTTCAAACCAATATCGTGATGTAATCCACACACTCCAAGCTTTTGCACCTTTACGACGGACGCTGCCGTAAATTCAGCTTCCATGGTGCACAGCGACACACCGCCTTGTTTTCGCCGTCCACGACACCGGCATTTCGTCCACAGTAATCCAGCCACCGGTAATTGACTCCTATTAGTCCGGTCCACGGCAAAATAAGCATCGCTGTTATCAATAATGTTATATATTTTTGCAGGGAACGAAAGAACCTATAAACGCAGTTCTTTCGTTCCCTGCAAAAATCTTGTAATTCTCTTACAAATTTTGTAGTCACCTAAAGTTGGAGAATGGGTTTAACTCCAAAATTTGTGCACTACATACGATACGTATGGCCTGCTACATCGTGAAAACCAAAGCAAGCTTCCAACTAAAGAGTGGATATGCTTGATCGTGACTGCACCGTCGTAGTGATTGCCCTAAAATTTTACACTTTTATCTTAGGAGTTGCTAGAGTCTTCGCCGATAGGAGTACGGGCCCAACTTGCCTCCTCGAAACCATTGTCGCGTAACATCTCTCGATTAGTCACTTCTTGGTCAATAGTGTACCCTTTTCTATCGTTGTAATATATGCGCATGCCCAAAAACTTGCTGGCAACGCCTAAGTCCCTGACAGAATGTTCCTGTAACTCTCCAAAATTTTCATTAACCAGATCTGGCCGAGTCGCTGTCACAAGAAGATCATCAACAAACACACCAACAATCACAAATTTTTTTGCAGGTGTTTCCGAAACACACACGTATTGGTAAGACATTGCACGAATTTTAAACCTTCCCATTTGTTACAAATCACTCCACAAACGACTGTCCTGATTTAGTCCGAACAGTGCCTCGCGCAACTCCAACGCGAGCTCGTTAGCGCTGTAATCGCCAAGATTTTAGTACACTTCACGTTGCATCGTCATTCCTTGGGGTATACGAAGAAATGTTTTAGCTCAGGTCCTTTTTAGCTTTTACATACGCGTTTGGTATGTCGCCGTGCTTCGCTGAAACTCTTCGTTTTCTGGCCAAAGAAAATATGAAATTGACGCTAGACATATCCATAACCGCATTAAAAGTAATATTACATTATCACGACTAAAAACTGGTTCATTCTCACGGGCTACCAATCTGGCCTTGTAGCGCTCGAATTCACAGTTTGCATCCCTTTTAGTTTTATACGCCCACTCCGAGTAAAACTGTTGCAATTTTTTGGCAGGCGTAATACGTTCCAGAATCCATTTTCTTCCATGCATCCAATTCTCCTGCATTTTTAATTCCCAAGCGTCCTTTTGAGTGCTGCGTATAGCATCACCATAGTTTTTGGGTTCTAATTTAAGCGCGGTGTGCACGACTTCCACTTCATTAGTCTTTTCTGAGTTTGGAGGAATTCTAGCCGTAATTTTTTTGTTTGCTGAGCGTGTCACCGGCCTTCGCGCGTCCAACCAGAATTTTCTGTTTTCTTTTTCACGCACACTTCATCCTCTCCATTAATCTGTTCATCTTATACAAGGCGCCGAGAGACTTGCCAGTTATGCTCCATGTTCAAAGTTTTGATGTTTTCGACGTGTTGGGAGGTAACAACGTTGTGATCCTCCGAAAGGTTGACTTGATAACCCTTTGTAGACTCACCAATACCGACGATAAGTCCAAGTTGGCCTCTCTGCGCGAATTTGTTCTTGTTAGGGTCACAAAAAATCCTACACGGAGAGCCAAAAATCGCAATCTTACCCAAAGCTGGAGCTTTATTCGTCAGAAGTTAGAATGGGGAAGCTTTATCAGGGTTGGGATTGGTAGGTGAACGTATAAGCACGTATGCCGCATATCGTACCGCATCACCTCAAAAGCTCAGAGGTAGTCCACTCAAGAAAATCACGCATCTGGCCATGTCCATATTAGCTCTGTGCATTCTTTCAGCTTTGCCATTACTTGCTTAATTACGCGCCTCGCTGCGATGTCGAGCCACACCGTGTTCCTTGCAAAACAAATTAACATTTTTATACTCTCCACCCAAGTCGGTACGGAGTATATGTATGGTACAATCGAGTCGTTTTCGTAAAATTTCAAGAGATGCTTGAAATGCTGAGCGGCGACATCTTTCGTCTTGAACAGAAAGATCTTCGCGTAGTTGCTCTTGCAATCAATAAATTTTACCATGTATCGGTTAACCGGCCGATCCCTAGGAGTCATCGGCCCTTTTCATATTGGAGCACACTACTCCACCAGTTCGATCAATTGGTGCGTGGTCTCCCGAGTCTTTCTGGGGCTGCCGATTCTTCGAATACTTTCCTTGGGCTCATGTTAGACAGCTTGAACGTCCGCGATCCGTTAGCTCAATTACTGAATGAGGGTCCTTGGCCAATCGTCCGACGTCGTAGTAGTTTAAGTGCCCGAGTCTTTACTAAAAATCAGCAAGAGAATCTTTTTGAGTGACTGGTAAGTCTTGTTCGCTTTTCTCGTCACCACAATTAGCCGCCATAATTACGTTACGCGTGCTACAATTTTTCCTCCGCAATTTCTCGTGAGCCGTAGGCACATTCATCATCAGTTCGACATATAATATGATATGCTTATCATCAGCACTCGCCAAAACACGCTGGGTTCCACACCTCGTAAGTGTGTATCCCTTTCGATCCAAACCCCGTACGAAAGTATACAATGCTTTAAACCGTGAGCGGAGTAGACATCAGTGATCGTCACAACGCGTGCTTGTCTTAAAGCGGTCATAATGAGAGTCACATTACCCTTTTGTGTTATGTTAAGGGGTTTTACATCCGGATGTACACATGTACCAATAGCACCTTCACAGTCATCAAGCTAGCCTAATTTCCGACCAACCGTCTGCTGCTGCCACTGTTTAGGATCCATATGTCCGTAGATTCGTCCACCATATCCGATATATCCAACGTGTAATTTAAATCATGACGCTCTTTGGTGCCTGCGTTCGAGCAATTTGCGGCAACATGTCCCAATTAACCACGATAAAACCATCTTTTTCGTTCTTTTAGATGACGATTTTGGTTTGGTCCATGAATACCCTTCTAGGCCGCTGTTTGCCTGCATCTTGATCCAAAGTGCGATGAGGTCACCCCTCTTGAACGTGTCCAACGATCTCCGTCCAACCCGCTTGTTTGTCATTCCTGACTCCCACGATTGCGCAAAATGTGCAAGCTCTTCTGCTTGCTAAAGATAGTCCGTCCTTTTATGATCAATCTTGGCCATCCGTGAAGTCGTTGGTCAAAGCTGGTCAAATGCAAAGAGAATGCGTTTAGGTCCTTAGTTTACAAACTCTGTTGCTACTCTAAGCCTACTTGATTCGTCGAATTTACGTTCCTAATCGCTATATGGCGCTTTACTAATCGTCTAGTCGCACATTGGTAATTGCCATATCGCACATTACTAATCGTCTAGTCGCGCATTAGTAATCACCACATCGCGCATTACTAATCGTCTAGTCGTACGTTTTTAATTCTGGTCATGCGTTTCTAAACACCCAAACGTGCCGAAAGTGGGGGACGTCACTGTCTGTCAGGACAGTGCTGGTGAACCCCAAACACCAGATCCCGAAGGCTTAACTTTTTTGTTTGCACGCCTCACCGGTATCGAACCCAGTGACATTTGGGATGGTACTGCCATACCAAACCTGCTGAGCTACAGAACATTTTCCGAAACGTCATGCCGAGGCGTATCTCTTATAACACTCCCACTCGACTCGGCAGACCTTGGTGTCTGGAACCCCAGCATGCAACGAAGATGTCGAACTGCGCAGCGGGGATCGTCTTCGTCATGAGGTCCGCTTTTATGTTCTTCGTAGCGCAGTACTGTAGCAACACTTGGCCGTCTGCAACCTTCTCGCGCACAAAGTGATACCGGATGTCGATATGCTTTGTTCTTTTATGGAACTCAGGGTTCTTGGCCAACGCGATATAACCTTGGTTATCTTTATATATCTTGACTGATTCGTCGTTCTTCATTTCAACAATCTCACACAAAAATGCCTTGAGCCATACTGCTTCTTGTGTGGCTTCTGTCAACGCCATGTACTCGGCTTTCGTAGACGATAGAGCCACTGTACGCTATTTCTTGCTTCTCCAGATGATGCACCCAGTGTTCATCAGGAACGCGCATCCACTTGTGCTTCGACGATTTTCCACATCAACAGCCCAGTCTGCATCTGAGTAGCTTTGAAGGTTGTCATTGCTTTTGGCATGAAATTCAATCCCATGGGTTTGTGTGCCTTGGACGTACCTGAAGACGCGCTTGAGTGCTTACCAATGTGTCGGACAAGGGTCCTCTGCAAACTGGCTGAGCACTCCCACTGCAGCAGCGAGATCCGGGCGAGTTCCTACCATGAGATACATCAGGCATCCAACAGCATTGCGATATGACACATTTGCCATCGTGTCTTTGTGCTTGAATCCTCCTTCGCACATTGACCTTGTCAGCTTTAGTCCGAGTTCTTGTGGAGTCTTGACTGGATTGCTGTTCTCCATGCCAAATTTCTTGAGGATGTCCTTCGCGAATTTGGACTGACGAATCGAGATCGTGCCGACCGTTATAAATCTTGATTAACTTCCATACCGAGAAAATACTTGAGGTTTTCCAAATCCGTCATGCCACATCGATCACTTAGTGCCTTCTTGTTGACTTGAGCAGCTCATCGTTGTTGCTCGCAAGATCCAAATCGTCAACGTATAGTACTACAAAAATCATGTCTTGATCAGCTTGCTTGACATAAATGCAGTGATTTGTTTCACATTTCTTGAGACCCATTGTAGCATGAACTTGTCGTTGGTTCCACATCCGTGGTGACTGCTTCAGACCGTAGAGGGAGCGCTTGAGCTGACAAACAAAGTTTGGGTGATCTTCATCAACGTGTCCATCCGGCTGAACCATGTAAATTTCTTCGTCCAGGAGTCCGTTGAGAAACGCTGTCATGACATCCATTTGGTGCACCGACAATTTATACTTGGCTGCCAGGCTGAACAAAATCCTGATTGACGTGAAATTGGTCACGGGCGCAAAGGTCTCATCGTAGTCAATACCACGCTTCTGAGAAAAACCTTTGGCCACTAAGCGCGCTTTGAATCGCTCGACTTCCCCAGCCTGATTCTTCTTGACTCGAAAGACCCATCGATTACCGATTTCTTTACGGCCTTTGGGTCGTGGTACGAGGTCCCAGGTCTTGGTTTGCGAAGAGATTCCATTTCTGAGTTGCACGCTTCGTTTTACTTGACTGCTTCAATGGAATCCATCGCCGGTTTTATCGTCGTTGGCAATTATCCCACTAAATCCATGACGTAGGCAACCTCAAAACCATGACGTTCTTGAGCCACCACAGATATCTCAACCAAACATTGATCCCGACTTAGTCGTTTTGCCATTGGAACATCGACCGCTTCTTCCAGTGATCGTGTGCGTTGATCTCGCTTGCTTCCAGGTTCGACGTCTTTATCCTGCACGTTTTCTTCTTCTTCTTCTTTGTTGGAACACGATGAGTCTTCATCCGTTGAACCTTCTACAGCTTTTAGAACTACTTCGGCTTGAAAGTAGTCGCGTCTTCCACTGTCGAAGACGTCTTTCATAGACTTTGCGTCGCGGCTGACCAGCACACGACCACTCTTGATCTCTTCGAATCAAAACGCTTTCTTGTGATCTGCATATCCCATGAACCGACAGTGTATTGATCGAGCATCGAGCTTGGAGCTCGTCATGTGCTGCGTCGCACCCGAGTCTGCAAGCCACACGTTACTCGACTTAGCGACTTCACGACCAACCGAAAACAGATAGTCGTCAAGATCTTCATCTTGCGCCACGTTCGCACGCTGGAATCGATGTCGTTCCGCGTCTTTGATGGATCCGCGAGGGGCAGTCCGCGATCCAATATCCTTGTTTCCCACACTTGTGGCACCCACCAGTCTTCTTACCTGGTCGTTCGTTTCGCTTGTTGTCTCTTGGCATGAACGCTTGAGCTTGCCCATGCACGGATCCATCGACTCCGCCACCTTGGTCCTTGCGCTTCAGGTCTTCATGCATCAGCCGAGACGTCAGTAAATCCCATGTCAGCGAGTCGGAACTTGACTCCAGGCCGTTATCAGGAACTGATAGGACTCGCTGAGACTGGCCAAAAGAGCGATGACCAAGTCGTCTTCACTGACCGGAGCACCAGCCGCGTCGAGTTGCTCCGCCAGGGTCTTGAGCTTGTCGATGTGCTCTAGCACGTCATCACCTTCTCCCATCATTGTCGTGAAGAAACGGTGACGAATAAAGAGCTTATCAGCCAAGCTCTTCTTCTCGTAGCGTCCATCCAGACGCGACCATGCATCATACGCATTCTCCGCCGAGCGCACCAGTGGCAACTGCGAGTCCTCCATTGCAAGGAAGATGATCGCCAGTGCCTTACGCGACTTCCTCTTGAACGTTGCTTGGTCCTATGTCGACACGCAGTGCTCAAGCTTCACCTCCCCACTCACGACATCCCACAGGTATCGCTCCTCCAGCACCATCTGCATCTTGAACTTCCACGTTTGGAAGTTTGTTTTGGCGAACTTATTGATGCGGGCGGTGGTGATCGGCATGGCGTCCATGAAGAAAGCGTGGTTGAGTTCTTGGGCAGAGTCTGCAGGGCTTGGGCTCATAACCTATAGTCGTTGGTCAAAGCTGGTCAAATGCAAAGAGAATGCGTTTAGGTCCTTAGTTCACAAACTCTGTTGCTACTCTAAGCCTACTTGATTCGTCGACTATACGTTCCTAATCGCTATATGGCGCATTACTAATCGTCTAGTCGCACATTGGTAATTGCCATATCGCACATTACTAATCGTCTAGTCGCGCATTAGTAATCACCACATCGCGCATTACTAATCGTCTAGTCGTACGTTTTAAATTCTGGTCATGCGTTTCTAAACACCCAAACGTGCCGAAAGTGGGGGACGTCACTGTCTGTCAGGACAGTGCTGGTGAACCCCAAACACCAGATCCCGAAGGCTTAACTTTTTTGTTTGCACGCCTCACCGGTATCGAACCAGTGACATTTGGGATGGTACTGCCATACCAAACCTGCTGAGCTACAGAACATTTTCCGAAACGTCATGCCGAGGCACATATGTTACAACAATTAGAAGTATTCGCATCTTATGTGACGCATACTGAACTATGTTGTTCAGCATTAGGAATTTAGAGTTCCCCATTGATGCTCTTGAAACAGCATTTATTTAGGGAGGTGTTCGATCCACGCTTTTCTTGGATCTTTTGGGCGTGCTAAAAGGTCCTTTGCTTGAGCTGACGCGATATTGGTTTAACACGCTTGTAGTATCCGTTCCATGGCGTATTATAGAGTGGTAGTCTAGCTTTACCAAAGGTCAATTTGCTTGTTTAAGTACTTTTCGACCATACCATCTAGATAATGACCCAATAAATTAACCTTTACATGTTCTGGCCAAAAGTATTTACACGCGGACTGTGCCATTGCTATTTGTATTTCAAATCGCCGACCCCATTCCAAAGCTACAGATCCCTAACCTTGGTACAACTCCTTGCTATTGTAAGGGCGAATCTTCTGCTCGTTGTGTATAGCATCCGGATACCCAGGATTTTCTCCGCTACCCTGCAGTGGTGGTATTGTAAGTATTGGAATACATGCACGTTGATTTATATTTACCCAACCTACGCTCGGGACTCTACCGATTCCAGGACCAAAGTGAGGTTCCCGTAAGTGATTTGAATCCCCAATCCACGTTGGTGCTGGGCAAAGTATCTATCGTGATTGCCATTTAAGTGTTGTCTTTTGTTTGCCTCTTAAGGATCTATCAGGTGTCCTAGGGGTTGGTCTCCCATGGCCTTTCCGACCTTTACCCCGTTGGCAACTTCCTTGCGAAGCTCCGTCTGTGAGCTTTCCAGACGGTCCAATCGACCAGCCAGTTCTCTTATACTAATAACTCGTTATTTCCGACTTGGTCGCTTGTCACTCTCTTGCTTTGTCTTCAAACTCTCTACCTATTCCGGCTTTTTCAAAACCAGAGATGTCCGCACTTGACGAGTCGAACTTTTCCTCATCATCCGCGAACTCGTGAGCGAAGTACCCCATTGGGCTCAGAACCTGTTAAGTGTCCAGCCACGCTACGACAAACACAGAGGGAACGCGAATTACGCGCGCGGTATAAAAGAAAAATGAGGAAACGTTTTAGATTAAGATCCGCCCTTTACCCTTAGTACGAAAATGCCATGCTCCGCACAGCACGATGTGTAGTCTACGCACTAACACGCAACATAGACCACCACGGTTCAACATAACTAAACCGGAAGTTCAAGGTCCAACTCGGGAACTTCAAACTTGCAAAACGATAAATTTCGACGCGTCGTCGATGAGCTAGTGCACGAGGTGCGTGGTCTTCGTGCCCGAGTGGCGCGTCTTGTAGGACAACTGAATCTTCTCTTGAGAGTTCCTTGACTTGTGGCAGCGCCAACTCCTTCGGCACAAGCGCCCTAAATTACCCGCGATGGATTAAGGTAAGGCTTTAGCAAGTTGACGTAAAACACTGGGTGTGCTCGCATTTTTCGCGGGAGGTTGAGCGTGTACGACAGTTCTTTCCATGCCAAGAACGTATGCGGATCAATGAAGCGAGGACGCAACTTGGTGCTGCAGACCGCTGACACCGCCTTGATAGGTAGATTTTTATCCATAATTGATACTAGGTCTCCAACCTCATAACTATCAATACGTTTCCTGACTTTAAACATCGGCTTTAACCTTTTGTTTATCCTGGCTATCATCCATTGCAATACGTACATGTCGTAAGACATTTAATTGTGTAGCAAGAAACACATTCACCTGTTTTCAGAATAGTAGTTGGTCTGACATCAGCAAGCCGATCGACTAATACTTCCCAACGAAGACCAAAACGTCGTAGGTAAAGCGTTAAAGGAACGCGTGGGTGAGTGAGATCATTCACGTAGAAATAAATAACTCCCGTAGATGCAAGAACAGCGTTGTTCAACGCAAAATCAAGACCAGGAAGCATAAATCTCCAACGGTGTGGCTAATCAGCGCAAACACTGCGCAAATGACATTAATGACGCGATAAACACGCTCAATTTGACCATCGGTCTGCGGATGATCCGCCGTGGTCATGACCAATTGGATGCCGAGCACCCTAAAGATAGACTTCTAAAACTTCTCAGTGAAGCGGGGACTTCTATCAGAGACAAGTGCCACAGAAAAACGTGTTGACGAATCACACGGTTGATAAACAGCTTTGCTGTACCTTCGACATTAATCGTATCCGGCACAGCCGCTAAATGAGCCATCTTGCTCAATCAGTCAACAAAGACCACACCACCAGTGTTGCCTTCCGAATTCTTCGGTATTCCGAACACAAAATCCATACTCATAGACTCCCAACACCCAGTGGGTACAGGCAGACTAGCCAGCGGCGCAGCCGCATGTGCTGAGATTTCTACCCGTTGACCCGTTTCACATGGACGCACACATGTATTTACCCTAAAGTAGTGTCATGTGATTTACCAAAGAAAGGGGATACGATATTTTAAGTCCTCACCATTAGGAAAAACATTGCGAGGCGCATCCTCAACACCCGTGCAATAGCACAACAACCCACCAAAGATGACATATCGATGTAGGCTCGCACGTAAACGTGTCGACAATTTAATGTCCGAGTATTGAAACACCTCGCTTCTAAGAGCACGTAGCAATGCTACACATTGCTCATCACGTGCATATGCCGCACGAATTAAATCCACAATGGATGACGGCAGAGTCGTAACATGAGCAAGATTATCATGATTTTCGCGTGACAACAAATCAGCCAAAGCATTTTTCTTGCCCGGCTTATGTTTAACTCAAAGTTGTATTCAGCAAAGAATGAATGTTGACAGCCCTATGCTGTGAGAGGTGATGCGACTGTGTTGCAATGCGTAATGACGCATGATCCTTGAAGATCAGAAAAGTCTTTGAGCCAAGTAGATGGACTTTGAACTTAACAAAGCATAGTTCATTGCGAGTAACTCTTGTTATAAACTGGATAGTTCTTCTATGCATCTTTGAGCTGACGACATTCATATGCAATGACGTGCCTAAGTCCATCCACATCTGTCTGCAATAACGTACTGTCAATGGCAAATCAGACGCGTCACAGACGACACTAAAAGGCCGCTCAGGGTCGAGCAAAGCTAAAATGGGGGCATGAGGGATACTCTCCTTTATAGCTTCATAATCTTGAGCACGGACTACTTCTCAACACTAAACTGTATCCTTCTTGAGGAGGTTGGTCAATGGCCTTGCCATATCAGCGTAGTTGCACTGTACTTAAACAAATCATTACTAAGGCCGAGCGAATTACGCAAGTCCTTGTGGTTCGAAGAAACCGGCCAGCCAACAATCGACTTTACTTTAGCGGAATCAGCTCGGAGGCCACGCTTTCCAGTGAAGCACTTGAGAAACGGTATTTTTTTAAGATCCATGAAAATTCATTTTGATGCATTTGCCTACAGCTTGTTTTTACACATGCACGCTAGCACTGCTCATAAATGGTCGATGTGATTTTCGACCTTCCAAGTTATGCACGGCTATGGACAAAGACTTCGTCGAAGTAGCTTTGTGCATATCCTCGTTGATGTCGGAACAATTGCGTCACAAGATGATAAAATGTAGCCGGGGCATAAAACATCCCTTGAGGCATGACAAACCAATCCCAAAGCAATTAGCTTGGAGTTTCACCTGCTTTGAGCGGAATATCACTAGCTGCATGAGCAATTGATCATGCGCATCGACCACGTCGTGTGCACTGAACATGGCACAACCTACCATAGCGTTCTGCAGAACATCCTATCAAGAAATAGGCGTCTGTACCGGTATAGTGGCTGCGTCAAGCTTATTGTAAGCATACAAAATACGCCACTTGCCATTTGGCTTCCTGACACAAATGTCGGTGTCGAGTGCGGAGACTTGCTCTCACGCGCCATGCTAGCTGCGTACTTTGCACGAAAGAAATCGTTTCTGACGTCACACTGCTACTTTGGTAGGGGCCATTGCCGTGTCACACAGTACTTGGTATCATTAAAAAGGTCAATTTCATGGCGTACACCTCGATCAGGAGGGAGAGTAGAAGGTGGATCGTGACACACCACATCCTAAAATCCTTTACCAAAGGGAAAAACGGGTCTTAAGCATCTTTTAAGATCTTTGATCCGCTTAGAGAACTTATTGTCACCTTTGTGTCTTCAAAGACAGGCTGTTTAAGAAGTGACGACGAGTTCGACTCATTGTCGGGTCTAATGACCCCCACGTCAGAAAAGGCACCTGACTTTAAGGCCAGTCCAAACTCTTCGATAGAAATTTCTTCTACACCTCATAGAGCAATCAGTGAGGGTAGATTTTCAAGACTCATTATCGAGTCTAATGACCACCAGGTCAGATAAGTCACTTGACATTTAGGCCAGTTCAAACTTATCGACAGAAATTTCTTCTAGCTCAAACAGGGTATTCAGTGAGGGTCAAATCTAAAGCCTCACTGATTCCTTCAACGTCACCAGTCACTCCATTATAGAGTGTATATAGCTGCTCGCTAGTATCACTTGGTGACGTAACAGACGTCTTGCATTGCATAACATCACTCTGGCGTCGTTGTCGTCTCTGTGACGAGACTGAATGTCTTAAAGACACTGAAACTTTCTCGTTTCCAAGGTTGATTGCATAATCATCCTTAACTTGCTCTGTACAAGAGCCGGTGTCACTACCAACACCGGGGACATCGATGTCCCCAAGATTGACAAGACCGTCAACCTTAAGTTGCTCATTACCAGAGCCGATATCATTACAGACATCCGGGACTATACTTCCCCCAAGGTGACGGAGTGCATCAACACTATTTGATCTTTTCAGATACGATTTCATTACCGACATCTGGTGATGAGTCGCTTCCAGTGGCATTACCATCCAGTGGGCACTTACGTGCCACCCCACGCTGATCAAATGGGCATCGCCCCTGATGGCTTGGGTTTTCACCAACAATGTCTTGACTGTCATTTAGTGTGTCGAAATCACGGCCAACATCACTCCATGGGTCCTTACGTGCTACTCCAAGCTCACCAGATGGGTTCAACCCTTGGTTACTTAACTCTAGACCAACAATGCGTTCCGAAATTAATAATTCGTTATCACAACGATTATCATTCGACGAAGTACGTGCCGTCTCATTAACAGTCAACAAGCTTGGCTCGTAACTAGTGTTTTTGACATTGTCCAAGTCAATGAGTCCAGCCATACCTATGTTCGGCACAATGACTGTCTCAGTCCGTGGCTTGCGTCAATAGCATTTCCGTTTCCTAATAGATGTTGATCATGACTCTCCAACTCTCTATTAGGAATAGTGCGCGTTGCGCCTAAGGTCTTTTACCTCCAATAATCTAATGGCTCATTCTTTTTTGCGTTCTAGTTAAGCCTTACAAAGAATGAGATCAGATCTCATCCAAGTCAAGGACTATAAAGCGTTCGATATCGTCAAATCCCGAAACCTTTACGCCCAAGTTCAAAGGAACTTTCGGCACAGTGACTAATGCACCTATCACCAAGCGAACAGTGATAGTATCATCCTTTTTCACGCTTTTAGCGCCTCAGCAAAACGCTGACTCCAGTCCAAGAACGACGTCAGACATAATTTCCAGACTCCCTGGAGTCGATCAAAATCGACTAAGGCTTGTCAAAGCCTTTCACCGTTACTTTTTCAACTAACAAGCCGGACTTGTACTCAAGCTTCAATGACCGTGCTCACGAAGCTACTTGGGGCTAGGCCCTGCTTTCCATTACCTCTCAGACTAACAACATAGCCTAAATCCTCCCCAGCAGGGCGCCCTGCGCCTACTGGGACTTGACATTTTCCCAAGCCTTACCAGCTAGTTATTTAGCGATGGGAGGCTGGCTCGAATGAGCCTGTCAAGTTCTTCTCAAAGGACAATTGGAGCGGAAAACTTTATGCTTCCGCACGTAAAACATCTAAGAATGTTCGAACGCTGTTCGACAGCGTAGATCTCAGCTACTTCGTCTCTCTCAGCGATACAAAGGTCCATGGGTTCTGCCCAATCCATCAAGATAAGCATCGCTCGACGAATTCAATTTGAGCTTACTTATACCATAACGGACAGCTTTAAAGATGAGCTTTGCGCTCAACGCTATGTCCACTGCACCTTCAATTGTCAAGATTTGTGCACGAAACGCTTCTACTCTGGCAACGCTAGTGCAAAAACCCTCCATGAAAATGGTTACCAAAACCGTCTCAGGTAAAGGTCAAGCTGCATAGCAGCAATGTGAGTTCGCAACTCCTGGATGTGACCAACCAAGTCCATTTTACCCTGGCGGGTTGACAGGAAGCGTGATTTCACGCGAAATTCCTGATTAGGCGGTGCAAACACCCAAGGCAGTTGCTGTTTTTGAATGTCCCAGGTAAGAAAGCCTCGCCTATCGAGGTGCCAGAAGTGAAGGCCCACTCCCTGGCTCGCCTACATAACTTCGATAGTGTTAGGCCCACTTTTGCTGCTATGACCGCAGCAGGGTTGAGCTGATGGCAGCTATCATCTCTCGAACCGACAAAAGATAATTTTCTCCCTCTTTCCCCTCAAAAATCTTCTACATAAGATTAGAGGACGAGTCCATGACTTAGTGTACGTTTTTGCAACATACCGAGTGGGTATGGAATATGCCAGATGGTCACGGACCTGTCCGATCAATATGGACCCAAATGTCGAGAAGGCTCGAGACGTGCGCAAAGTGCGTCTGGGCCTTGCGTTACTATAGGGGCCACTTGATCGTGTCCGATCAACGCCTTTAGCTTCTCAAGCGTGATCGGATGGGCCTCGTAGAGGTTCATGGATGTTTCCATCCTCGCAGAGGATTTCAGTCTGTGCAGATCAGATGTAGTTTGACAAATGCTTTCAAGTGCGGCGGAGCTACTTAGCGCTCCTTAACTGATATTGTCTTAGACCCAAGGAGTCTCAAAGCTTAAAAAACAACAACGACGTACAGTAGGTCAAGCGTACAAGATTAATAATCCCGATTCCAAAAGGGATTACGATTCACAGAATCACACACTAACTAGTCACTACCAGTTAAACAAGAGTAAATGCCTTGACAAGGCAAATGCTTTTAACAACACACTACGCCTTGACTAGTCACTTGTGTCCAACGATTCAAAAGGGAAACTGAACTTTAAAAATTCTTTAACTACGGTAATAAACCCTAAAACTTTGTCCGACTGAATTCTACTTTGCAATCTTATAACAGGAGTCTGATCCCTTATCCCTAACCGATACGATGCGGTATTACCGTAAATACATGGTACCGAAACTGTACCACCTAGAACCACCGATCTTTACTTGGTGTGGACACACATCATAGCCGGGTCGATAACCGCGTGTAACCCCGTTACAGTGCAGTATTCAGGTTATTGCATGCGTGCGATATCCTCCATCCTCATGTGGCCTTGCGGACTCAAAATTTCGGAGAGCTGTACAAGATAGTTGTGAATCTGACTTGACCCTCAGCTAGGCGGCCGAAAAGAACTTGTCGATCGCAAGTGCCTGTTCACGAGGCGTTGGCCACTGCTGCATGACACAGTACGTCGAGACCGGGTTGAGTTCGATCTTGTGTCGAGTGTCCTATAGCGACATGCATGGCACGGATTCAAAGAACATGTCCTGGAATTCGATCAAATCCGCATACAAAGTATTTTCCTGAAGCGACCCCAAGATTGAGACGTTTCATCGCTCAATCTGCGTCTTCTCATCGAGATCAATTTCGTCCATCGATATTCTGCTAAGAACCCGTTTGTTCTCAGCCTATGGCACTGCAGGCCGAATTTTGATCACGAACTAGTCCTCTACGACTTGAACGCAGATCTGCTTGACCTTGCCACTGCTCATATCTCGCAGTAACTGTTCCGGTTCTAGCTTAGGTAACAGAGTGATCTCCGAGCTCAGCTTCGGAGGCGCGATCGTTTCAAGTTTATTAGTGTCTACGTTTTACCCATCACCAACCAAGACCTAGAATGTCTCGGTTTAATCCTGGGACCCTTTTTCTACAAGCTGGTGGGGATTTATTCTTCAGTCTAACGAGATCTCGTTATCTTCACAAAAACTGCTATTGATTGATTTCCTAAAGTACGTGGGGAAGTACCCCTTCGACGCCCTCTGTATGTAATTGCAATACCACAACAAGGTCCTTTACGATCGACACTTTAGCCGATCTAGGATCGTCATGTTGCCCTGTGTGGGCACTGGTTTATTCTTTCTTGGATGTCGCCCGATAAGGGTACACATAGGACCCGATGTAATCGACTTGTTCGAGTGGTAGACCTTAGGCGCTGCCAATAATACTTCACAACCACCGGCAGCTCCTTCCGTAGTGTAATTAGTTGTCACAATGTGATCTTGTGTATATGTACTAACGAATGTACCGCATGTGTGGCCATTGCACTTAAAAGACAGCACATCCACAAGCTTGTGGACACTCCTAGACATTGATTAGACGAACACCTGATGAACAAATGGCAGGCATCTTTACGGTTCCGTACTGCCAGCTGACCCTTGGCTCGTACCTTCTAAGCCATGAGAACCCTAAAATGACATCAAATTTTCATCCGAGTCGAGTACAATCGTTTCATCATTGTACTGCGGATCTTCTAACGTGTAGTAAAATCGCACTACAAATTTCATCACTTCTATCGATGTGCCTGTTGCAAGGCGCACCGTCATCCTCGTAAAAGGAATATCGCGCTAAAAGAGCTTGAGCCTACGATCCTCTAGTGACTGGAAACGAAAAAACTTGTTCGGCGCCCCACAGTCTACTCAGGCACGAAGTGACAAATCTTTTGTTACTTTTGAGCTCATGGTAATAAGGCGCAACTCATTACTAGAGGAAGTAGCACACAGCGACTGTGTGTTGGGAGCAATCTTTGTCAAGAGTCCTGCAAATTCTCTTGACATTGCTGGATCAGTAGGCCACTCTGCCCCTACTTAATTAACCGTTTTTTTACGGTCCGCCACGCTGATATGACATCGCAACAGCGTTGGCACATCATCCTTGCATTTCATGGTAAACGGTAGATTACTTCGCTCAGCATTTCGGGACGCTGAATATGAAGCACGAGATTCGTAGGCGTAGCGCTCTAACTTCTTATAGCGATTGCACTTTTGAAAATTCTTACTGCATCGAAGAGCGAGGTATCTTGTGTTTAACACTGCTGAGGCATATAGGTTCTGGACATCCCGCCTCTACTTTCCATAAGAGACCAATATGGTTCAAGTCACTGTGAGTCTGTCTCATACTAAAGTCCTTTTGCACCGCAGTTTTTATTGCTTCTTTAAGCGACTTAAGCTTGATTCAGTATTGGCGATTCCTCCCGAGACCATTTATAAGGCCTTGTAAGAATATGGTGATTATCACAAAATCACTTACAGGATTCACTACCATGCAACTTACAAGGTAGCGAACGTGTTGAGCGTAAGCGTAAAAGTAAATGTGACGCTTACCTTTTTTATCTTCAGGAGCTCTGAAAGAGTCTTAAACTTCGATCTTGGCGGCTTAAGCATTTGGCTGAGCAGAGTCTTAAAGACGGCCAATGGTTCAAATACGTTTGAATCATGTAATTGAAGATTCGGGGCCCAAGGCCTAGAAGTCCCAAAACTTTGATTTGGCAATGCAGTTTGCCTTTGCTCATCTTCAATGCGGCGAGACTAAATAGCATCGTCCATTCGAGGTTCCATCGCAACAGAAATTCTTCCTCGACTCCCTCATTAGTGTAGACTTCTAGCTTAATAGTCTCGCGTCGACACTTACGTGTCGACGCTGCAGAAGCAAACTGAGACTGTTTCTGTCCCAGGATGTAACGGGGTGAATCGTTACATAACAATTTATAAGAAATTGTTAATAGAATATAACTATAAGAGTTATATTTCTCAGAATATTGTCATAAGGACAAATATTCTGTAGCACTTACGAGTAGTTCCTAATTGGTTGATATAGGCCATTATATCAACCAACGAAGACGCGCCACGACAGACGCACGCAATGAGTGGTGAGCAGATAACTGATTTACACATTTGTATTTAGACATAGTTAGATGAAGATAAATAGTGATTTATTGCAGACATTAACTACTGATAAATACAGTTCTACTTTTTACTTTAACCAAGTACTCGCTTCTTCTTACCGTCTTCCTCTGCACGTACGAGTGTACGTGAAGTTACGAGGCACCGCCTTATTCTGTCATCAGAATAAGTAGCTTGTACTGTCACCAGTACAAGCTTCAGGGTGCCCCGTTACACCTGGTAGCACTTCGTAGTCCGTCCAAGGACCACGTTCACATCCAACATGAATATGTTGGATGATGAAGATGACCAAAGCTTTCACGCTACGCGTGACGGCTACTCCCATTTGAGCGATGTCGAATGGGATGCGGTTGAACGAATGGGTTCGACCATGGGCATCCATGCTGTTAGCGTCATGCTAGAGGCTCTCAATAGAGATGCCCAACATGCTACTATCGCCAAGTTCATTCAAAATGAACTTGACGCAGAACGCGAGAAAGTAGCCTTGCTTCACCAACAAGGTTCTCAACAAGCAGAGTTGTTGAGAGAACAGGGTGCTCAACAGTTTGAACTGTTGAGACAGCAGCAGGCTGCTGCTGGCGGGTCGATGCATTCGCGTCGACCCGAGACCTTGAAGATTGACATCTCCAAGTATAGGGGAGTCGAAGAGGACTCCCTCTTGAGATGGCTCGTCTAATTAGACGGCACCATAGGGCGCGTTGCATCGACGACGGGGATATGCAAGTTGCATTTGCCCAGTCAAATCTGGCAGGACGTGCCAAGACTTGGGCACTGGGGCTCAAGTTGCACAACCGATTTGCGTTTGGGTCGTTATAAGTCTTCAAGTCGCGGCTCAGACAAACGTTTGAACCGCCTAGAGCTGAGTTCAGAGCTCGAGCCGAACTCTTGAAGCTCAATCAGGGTAAGCGTGATGTGCACGCTTACGCGCAACATATACGACATCTCACGAGTTGTATAAGTTCCAATCCGGTGGATGAACACACGTTGGTTTCGGTGTTCATGCAGGGTCTTGCGGATGGTCCCGTCAAGACTCACCTGTTCCGGCTTGAACTAGATTCACTAGAACAAGCCATTTCCATTGCGGAGCAGGAAGACTTCAGTCTGAGACAGGCTCGCGCCAGCTCGACATCATATCGTCAACCGAGACGATGTGACAGTGGAGGTCCAGAGCCGATGGAACTCTGTTATGTAGAGAGCGAGAAGGCTCGCTCTACAGACTACAAGAAGTTGCAGAGATGCAACAGATTTCAAAAGACAGGACACTACGCTTACGAGTGTAGTGCCCCTCGTCCAGTGTCTCGCAACACTGGGCGTAGTGACCGTCCACCCATGAGAAAGGGGCAGGGACGCGGGTCCGCTGTTGGTGTAAAGACGCAACAACGGGGTGGACCTTCAAAAAACGGACAGGATCAGTAGGTGCGGAGCACCCTACTGGTCCAGCAACGTCAAGAGAATTTGTAGGCCTCTTGATGAAGGTTGCTCCCAACACACAAACGTTGTGCGTTGTTGCTCTAGGTAATGAGATCTCACTCATTACCTTGAAACTCGAAGTGACGAATAAGTTGTCCCTTCGAGCTCTAGTCGATTGTGGGGCGTCCAACAATTTTGTGCGACGCCAACCGCTAGAAGATGGTCACTTTAAGTTCAGTGAATGTGACACACCTCCTACGAGGATGACGGTACGTCTTGCGACAGGCGCATCCGTAACCGTCATGAAGCGTGTAGTGAAGATTCATAATATGCTAGAAGATACCCAATATGATGATGACTTTGTCGTATTGGATTTGGATGACAAATTTGATGTCATCCTTGGAATACCGTGGCTCAGAAGGTACGAACCACGGGTAAACTGGCAACATCGAACAGTAACGATGCCTGCCACTTGTTCATCAGATGGCCATCTGATGAACGTTTTGGAGCGTCCACAAGCGTGTGGATGTACTACGAGTGAGTGCGATGGCCTCACTTGTGGTACGGTCGTTAGTACGACTGCACAAAACCTTAGTGTAACAAACAGTTACACTTCGGAGCAAAGTTCCGGCGGCTGTGAGGAAACACAGGCTGCGCCGAAGGTCCACCACTCGAATAAGTCGAGTGGACCGGGACAAAGATGTATCCCTAGCGGGGAACATCTAGAAGAGAAACAATCGATCGCTCAGGTTAAGCGAAACGATAATCCTAGATCGACTGGAGAGTCTTTCGTAGAGGATCTCGCTGTGGTTGCGCAACCCCAGCTAGAGGAAGTAAAGGGAATAAGTCCCAAGATTACAAATACGGCGGAAATAAGTTCCCCGAAACCCGCGGGAATAAGTCCCGTATTAAAATACGGCGGAAATAATTCCCGAAACCCGCGGGAATAAGTCCCCGGGAAGCCGAAGGAATAAGTCCTTCGAGGCCTGAGGGAATAAGTCCCCAGGAAATGACAGAGACATTGAATGTCATAGTAAATAACGGATCAAGTGTAGGCGCTTATACACTTGATCTGATTGCGCCTCCGAAGTTGACTTCGGAGATCACTCAGTTGCCAACGCTCGAACAATAAAGGTTCTTGCGTGATCTGCGTAGTGGCAAAGTCAAGCAGATCTGCTTACTCGTCGCTGACGACGAGTGTGTATCCGACATAAGGTCAGCAACAGTGTTTACTGAGAACGAGAGAGTTCTCAGTAGTTCATCTATGGACGAGAATGTCCTAGATGAAAAGACACGAATTGAGCGATATGACTCCCAATCGTGGGAATCGCTCAAGAAAAATCCTCTCTATGAAGATTTGGTTGAATTCAAGGATGTATTCCCTGAAACTGTTCCGTGCGAATTACCGAAGGATGAAGGTATTCGACACGAGGTCGAGCTTAAACTAGGCTCGAAGTACTGTGTCATGAAGCAGTGACCACTGCCTCGTGAACAAGTACTTGCGATCGACAAGTTCTTTGCCGATCGTTTAGCTGCGGGCCATGTGAGGGAATCAACTTCCCCACATAGCTCTCCGACCTTCTGTGTGCGAAAAGCAACAGGAGAGTGGCGGATAGTGCACGCGTTCAACAAATTGAATGCTACAACGGTACCGGCTCAGACGCCGATACCGAGGAAGGACGTAATCATTGATGGTATGTCAAAGAGTACCATCTTTTCGTCCATGGATTTGATGGATGGCTTCTATCAAATCCTTATGCGGGAACGGGATATACCCTATACCGCAGTTAGCACGCCTAGCGGCATGCTCTGGGAATGGCTAGTAATGCCACAAGGGCTTAGTAATGCCCCTGCCACGTTCAACAGATGTGTATCACATCTGTTGAGACCAGTACGAGAATTCGCGCCGAGTTATTTCGATGACGTATTCATCCATAGTCGAGCTATGGATGGAAAGTCGGACGTTGAGGTTCACAGGTACCACGTCCGACAGGTTCTTACAATCATGCGAAAGCATCAATTGTATGCAAACCTCAAGAAGTGTATATTTGCAGCAAGCGAAATACCACTTCTTGGGTGCATCGTTGGTAAGAACGGTGTACGTCCTGATCCCGAAAAGATCAAGGCGATCACCGACTGGCCTGTGCCGGTTGATGTCAAAGGTCTTCGAAAATTCCTTGGGCTAGCGGCGTATTTGCATAAGTATTCACGCAATTACGCCGAGATGACTGTGCACCTCTCTCGTTTGTTGAAAAAGAACGAGAGGTGGTTATGGAACGCTGAATGTCAACGCTCCTTTGATGGTATCAAGCAGAGCTTGATACAATCCCCAGTCCTAGCAATAGCCGATCAGGACAGGCCATTTCATGTGGTCTGTGATGCCAGCGATTTCGCAATCGGCTGTGCATTAATGCAGTACGACCTTGAAGGCGTTGAACGCGTCGTCTGCTATCAGTCGCGTCAGCTGCAACCAGCTGAGCGGAACTATCCAGTGCATGACAAGGAACTCCTTGCCATGAAGTATGCACTCGCGAAGTTCAGAGTCTATCTATTAGGAGATAGACCCTTCATTGTTTACACTGACCATGCGTCATTACGCACGGCAGTGAACAGCCCGCACCTTTCACAACGAATGGCGCGGTGGTTGTCATTCTTTGCAGAATACAACTTTACGGTCGAGTACAAACCAGGACGACTTAATGTCGTCGCTGATGCACTCTCACGTCGTCCCGACTTTGAACCAGTCGCGAAACCCAACAGTGAGACAGTCACTGTTGCGGTTATGACGTCCTCAGTCCCATCTACAACGTTGTATGATGATGTGAGGCGGGCATACGCCCAAGATGGTGAGATAGTGAAGTTGTTGACACATCTCTCCCAACCATCCCGAGAATCGTTGAAACGATTGTCGCCTGCGTATCGATCTGCATCAGATCGATACACTACTCGTAACGGTTTACTGTATTATACAGCCGTTTCTGGTGACACACCACGTGTTGTCATTCCAGATGATACTGATCTGCGTTTGCGGATCATGTTCGAGTATCACGATGCTCCTATAGGAGGACATCGTGGCCGGGAGAAAACATATCTCACGGTGAGTCGAGACTTTTACTGGCCCCGCCAGTATCAGTTTGTGCGAAAGTATGTTCGCGCATGCGAAGTCTGTCAACGAGTGAAGTCAAGTCCTTCACTGCGTGCACCTTTACAGCCTCTACCGGTTCCGGCTGAGTGCTGGGAATCCATCTCAATGGATTTCGTCTTCGGGTTACCCAAAGACGCACGCGGGAATACGGGTATTCTCGTATTTGTTGACAGATTCAGCAAAATGGTACACCTTGTGGCTGTACCAGAGACAATCACGGCAAGTGGCTGTGCTGGTGTCTTTATTGACACCATCTTCCGACTTCATGGGTTGCCCCGTGAACTCGTATCAGACAGAGATCCACGATTCACTGCTGATTTCTGGCGTTCCGTGTTCAAATCACTCGGAACGCGCTTGAAGATGTCTACATCTGATCATCCAGAGTCAGATGGTCAGACGGAACGTGCCAACCGTGTCCTTGAAGAGATACTTCAAGGATACGTACACTCCTTTAAGAGTTGGAGTGAGTTTTTGCCAATGATAGAGTTTGCCATTAACAACTCGGTGCATGCGTCCACGACACATACACCGTTTTACGTGAATGGCTTGCGCCATCCGCGTGTACCCACCTTACTAGAGTGTAACTCTGGTTTAAGGGGGGGGACTCGCGCGAGCAAAAACCGATTTGGTTCACGCTCATCACGCTCTGACGAAGAGGTCATTGCGTTTGATGCCGATATCGATAACATCGATATCGAAGAAGATGATGCCAGTGAGAGTGCGGAAGCCCTCACTGAAGAAAAGGTTGATGTTGCTGCAGTGCGCTCACAGCGCACTGAAGCTAACGAGTCATCAGATGAGTTCATACTGGCTCGTGAAACGGTAGTCCGTTTTGTGCAAGACTCCATCGCCGAAGCGGTGGATAAGCAAAAGCAAAACGCTGACAAGAATGGAAGGGCAAACACTCTTTTATTTAATAAAGGTGACTTAGTCCTACTGTCTACGGTTAATCTACCAAAGCATGTAGTGACTAACTTGGGTAGCAGTAAACTACTACCCAAGTACATCGGCCCATTTCGTGTATTGCACCGCCTAGGCAATGCATACACGATCGAGTTACCACGTAAGATGCGAACGCATCCCACGTTTTACGTTGGTCGGCTTAAGCCGTACCATCAGTA